CTAGCAGCTAAATTCCTCCGTCCTTGCAGTCAGGGAAAGTCGTAAGTCAAGAAGAACAAGTATCTGGCAGTCAGAAATGTTAGACCTTAGAGGAACATTCAAGAAACACTTTCCAAGGCTATATAAAGCTATGTCTGTGAACAACAGCTCGTGCAGATCATTTATCAGCTCAGGCAGGGAACACAGGACAATAGGTGTCCTGAGGGTGTTGAGGCAGGCAGCTCTAAAGGTTTAATGCAATTAGATGCTCTAGCCAGGTTACCTTTCAAAGAATTCAACTCCTCTTATTACAATAACATTTATTTCAAAACTCTCCAGTTCTCCTTCCCATATAAAAGGAGGTCTTTATAATATGACAATATACGTAGTCATTTTCCTCAAAATATAGGAAAGGATACATGCCAGTAGGGATCATTATTGCTGTTAGAAATGTCCTTCCTGAGAAATGAGATGAAACGTCTAGAAAGCTACCAAGGTGAGGTTCTTCAGCTAGGAGAAGGAGGGCAGCAGACACGTTTTATGGGTGAGACGGAACTGTCTGTTGACTCAGAAATAAGCATTTTTTTCAGACAGACAGACCTCATATCTTAGAGAAATGTCACAGAAGGGCATCGGGTGCTCAGTGGAACAGCTAAGTGTCTTGTTATCTGAGTTCTTCAGATATAACAGCATTGCAAGATTTTTCTAGGTGATGTTTCAGGTTGAGGGTCCAGGTCACTGACTTTTAAATCCACATTGAAAATCAGAACTAGGTATAAATCGGGATTATATACCTCATACTAAAGAGGGATAACCAGAAACATATCAAAGTAAAGGGACGGTTAACACCTTCAATACGGAGTCAAAGTAGCTCAGATGCTAGCCTCAGTTAGTCTGTTTGCAGTACTTTAAAGGTAAGGAAAACAAAAGAAGAAGAAAAGACAACAGAAAAATCAAGAACTGTGGGATGCCATAGATAGCACAGGGAAGGGACTGCACCTTTAGAGGCTAACAGCAGTGGTACCCAGAGCCACACAACTAATCTGGCAGTTTAGAGACTAATCTAGAGACTGATTTAACAAAAACCGAGACAAATTGCTGATGATAACTAGAAAAAGAGCCAAGGTTTGGGCAGGCCACGTCACAGTTGGGGTACAGCAGTTTTATTTACTTTTCTACATGGAATTAGTTCTCTAACCTTTGTTAGTCGAGCTGCTTATCTGGCTCTTGGTTTGCTCACTGGCCCAAAGAAAGTTCGGGTGATGTGTTAACTACTGGTCCTGAATTCTGCACTGGAGGAGGCACAGGTTTCCTCACCCTCCAGGCTGTTTCTGTCAGTGTTGTTGGCCCATTTCTCCTTCTAGCAATTGTCCTTTGGTCACTGTTGTCACTTCCACAGCCCAAATCCTGTTCTAAATACCCCCAAAACACTCATATCTCTACTGGCTAGCATTAATGCCAGTTCTTCCAGCATCTGCATCTCCCACAGTCACTTGATGCATTTTGTGCTTAGTCACCCAAGTTCCTTTACTCAACCTGTATTTCAACTAGCAACAAACCTAATGCTGAGCTGTTGCTAACTGTAACTAAACACAACAAAGGAAATCACGCCAGTAACTTAAATCTCAGTTACCCTTTTATGTGTGTGTGCACAGGCTGGGTGCATTCGTTCTGCGGTCTGTCCCCTGGGAGGCCTCCTTTTAAGACACCACAGAGCTCTTCTGCAGACCTTTGAGGGGCTAATGAGCAAGATGTCTCCAGTTTAATAATTAGCTGCTTCTCAGCCATACTCCACAGCTCCCTGCTAGTTCAGCTGCAGCAATTAGACAGCCCATGTTTCAGTCTTTCAGAGCACTGCCATTGACAGAAAGTTTCACTGTTCCCGAGACACAGAAACGATGGGACTTTCTGGCAATTTCAGACACAGCTTGAATGACTAATAGAGATACCCTGCTGCCTGGATTATTCATTGCAGCTCCCCATTCTAGATTTTGTCTCGTGTACTCGGCCGTCAACGTGTGCCATCACCAGTACCCCAGTGCCCAGATGTTATCTGAAAGCTTCTCTATTTGCATCATCCAGGCAGTCAAACCCCGTGTATTCATGCCCTCTCTGATTCAGAGTGCAAGTAAAGTGGGCAGTGTGATGTTTCAGTCACTAGTCCTTCTCAGGCAGCAAGAAAACCAGGCCAATGAGCATATGTTCTCTCTGCTTCACACAGTAAAAGACTTCCCTGTGTGTCTGAGCTCCCCGTTTTTACTACTTACCCACAGCTCGTGTGCTCACAGATTTCACTAGGTAAGTATCTGACATGCAGGAACCTATGGAGTACCAAAAGCAGGTTTTATTCCTAGTTTACCAGTCATCCATGATAAATATTGTTCCGTGAGTACAACTAGAAGGGAAAAAATCTCCTTAACCAGGCTTAGTTAGATACTTAATTTTTAAAATAGTTCAATTAAATACCAAATAGTGATAATTGCAAATGGTTCTCCAGGTCCAACGCTGATCCTCCTGCTAGCTACCCTGTCTGTCCATTTATACTGCAAAGCTTGGCACTTACACCAAGTTGTAGTTCTTTCCATCTCCACACAATGTAGGCTTAGGAGGACACGTTGCTTCTAAGGAGAGCCATCACAATTTCAACTACACATTTAGAAGCACTAAAGAAAAAAAAAACAAACACATTTTTTGCCTTTCCCAAAAGCTAATGAGAAGCAACACCACTGCCCAACAGGCAGCGTTGCACATACACTGAGTAAGTTCACCCCCAGGGCCTTGGCCTGGTCTGGATGGCTGAGGCTCCCAGGACTGATGTCCCCCACAGGGTGCTCTGACCACGGTGTAGACAGCCCTGGTCTGTACCACCCAATTCACATATCACTACACCCCAGACAGAAGTGGGCTAACCCTACAAGACAGGGTGATTTCTCTCCCCCCACCCCCTGCTTCTCACGCTGCCTCGTGCACAGACATGCACACAACCAGCGTGCCTGGTAGCTGGACCAGGCTTACAACCTTACCAGCAAACCTCAGACCTCTCACGGTCTCCTCAGGCACTGGCTTCCATCTCCTGGTTCCTCAGTAGCCAACTTTCAGACCCTCTGTTCCTCTTCAGTATCTGGACAAGGTTTGCAGCCTCTTGGTCACTTGGTGCCTGTGCCTCTCATCCTGTTTTTTGGCTAATCTGTCTCGATATTTGCTTGTGATTACGCACTGATTTATGTACCCACACAATATGCACTCCAGTCTCTCCAGCTGCTGGCACACGGCCCCTGTGATCAGAGGTCCAGGATGACCTCCGTACACACACATGCACACAGGAAAAATTAGAAAAGGAGTTTAATGAGAAGACAGGGCAGGCTGCACTCATCAGGTGCAGGGCTTGGCCAGGCATGACCAACCTGTTCACATGTGATCAGCGTCATTTTCCCCCTTATCTCTCTATTTTCCCACCACTTTTCTTCCCCAGAACAACTTGATCTTTTCTTTTGTCCTCTAAACGTGCCATGGTAAGCCTTGTACAATCCCGAGATGCTCTTCCCTACATCCTAAGGAGTCCCACAGCTCCTAGGCAGCACCCACCCTCGGTCTGCAAGGTGCTTCAGAAAGCCTCCCCCATTTACTCACGCTGACAGGTCTCGCTCCTGGTCCACGGGGATCTGCTGTGTGTGTGAGATGTGCCTCCAGCCAGCTAACCCGCCAGCACTCCCCAGCTTCAGCTATTTCATGGAGCAGCTGCTAGTGCTCCAGTTAGAGTATTTTCGTGGTGCGGTTTCAAAAGACTTGTATGTTTATCACACATGTAAATGTTTTTATAAAATCAGTGGAGAGACTTTATGGAGTGTTTCAGGCTGTTGGAGAACTTTGAGATGTAAACAGGAGTTTTATCTCGGGCTCTGAGCAGTTTATGCATTCGATTAGACAACTGTGAAAGCAAGGCTTGGATTCTTTTCATCTGGATTTCAAGAGGAAAAGTGAGCAGCCAGCATTAGCTGTACGGAAGGAGCTTCCACAGTTCTGTGGGGTAAGGTTTTATAGGCAGCTAGGTTGGAAATAGTATCAGAACATGCCAAACATCTGCTCAAAGTGCTTCATGTGAATTAAGCTGTTCCACAACAAACCAGTGACTTCATTTGTCTTTGCTTCTTGGTTTGGTAGAGCGATGGATTTTCACTCAGATTATTTTTTTGTTTTGTTTTCTGGGGTTGTTTTTGAGCATGAGGAAAAGAAGGCTGCACAGATTACTCTTTTAAATGTTCTCTTAAACAAGATGCATACAGATTTCACGGTATTACACTTTATGTCACCTGCAGTAAAGGGGAAGACCGGCTTGTTTTCATTCCTCAGCTCACTCTCAAGGAGTTCTACAGAAGTTCTACATTCATAATGTATTTTTTATGACTGCCAGCTTTCTGTCTTCTCTTTATTCATCAACACAACGGAGGCGAGCTCTAAACCTGTCCTACCTCACTTCCCTCTAAGTGACAGCTCAAAAATTGTGCAATAATCCACCTGAACAGAGAAGAGGATCCACTTTACAGAAGAAGCATGGGTTGGGTCATCTTGCATAATTAATTACAGAAAATTTTCAGATTCTCCCAGTGAACCCTCATTCTCACACTGTACTGCCTCAGGCCGTTTTTACTCCTCCAAGTGACCAAGCATGAATGGATCCAGAGATAATGAGTGTTTTTGATTAAAATTGCATAGAATAACCACCATGTAAATCTCATAACAAAAGCCACAGGTGTTCAAAGCTTGTCTGCATGACTCCATACATCAGTATCCAGCGCAGAGCCACCAGTCCTCACAGCCCTAGTGCTGATGCTTCACTACAAGACAGATTTTCTGGACTCTCTGCAGGAAGGAAGGACTCAGTGGGAACCTCCTCACGTGCTACATGTTCTAACCTTTCCCCAGCATTTGTAAATGAGAGATTAATAGATAATTTTTAAGGCTTATCACTCCTGATTATTTTTCTCTGAATCATTCCAACCACGCTCACGTAATGCACTGAACTGACATGACTTTATTTTTCAGCATCACCTACTTGAAGTTCTGTTTACCCATGGCTGTGAATCTCACACTTCCAGTACTCCTTCTCTCACATTCCTTGTCACTTCCCTCTGTTTCTTCTAGGGTGTCCCTCTGCTCCAACGTTGTTCTGAAAGGCAGAATAAAATCCGCTTGTCCAGGGGACAAGTCAGGAAATGTGGCATCAATATACTTTTGAAAAGCTTCTCTTGTTGCTTGTATTTCATTTTCCAGGCTGTCCTTCCACGCTGTCATCTTTTCCAGCTTTTGCATGAGAATCTTTACCTGTTCTTCTGCTGCTTTCAGAGTAGCCATCACTTTTTCCAGCTCATCAAGATGTAGGATCTCTGCTTCTTTGAGCTGCTTTTCAATCTCAATCTGATTCTCTTTTTGTTTGATGCTCAGGGCAATATTAATCTCATTACATTTTTCTTTGTTTAATTGATCTATTCTCTTACGATACAGTGCCTCAGCTAACAGGCTTTCTTCTTTGAGTTGCTCTAGGTGCTTTCTATTAAAAAAAAAAAAAAGGAAGAGAAAAATGGTAGAGAACACCTGCTATTAAATATTATTAAAAATAAAACAACTTAAGTCTATCCTAAAAGCCTTTCTTATTCGACTACAAATATACATGAAATCAGAAATTATGTAACAAAACAGTGTAAAAGAAGGACACTGGTAATAGAGAAGGGTAGCTGGTACCCAGCTGCAGAAGATTCTGTTTCTGCAAGTGTCTCCAGTAATATTTTAATCACGATTACTTCCAAATGAAAAACATTACTCAAAGGACCAGTATTTCATGCTTCATTCAGGTATCTCTTTGAGCTGGCATTTAAGTTCACACTAATTTTCAAATAGAGATTTAGCAATTCTGCCCCCACGGTAAAAATGCTGTCTTGAAGTGAAATCTGAGAGCTGATTTCTAGACTGCAGATTCATCCACAATTTTTGATTAGGTTGTCCTGACAACATTTTTGTACAAGCAGGTCAGTAATAAAGGGCAGAATGTATAAGCCAAAATATTATGGGTGCTGTTCACCAGAGCTGGCATTCTACTAACATGAGAAATAAAGAGGCTAGCTAGTTTATGCAGAATGTGATTTCTCTCTGCCAGGAAGGGCAGGTGTTAATAGTGAAAATGAAGGTACTGTGAAGGTACTATGTAGTGGATCAAAATTTGAGTGTGACTTTGTCCAGAAAAAGAAAAAAAAAACATCTTAAAATGGAACACTCTGGAAGAACCAATCTTTTCACTATGAAACTATAGTTATTTTGTCATTTATGCTCTCAAAAATGAAATGCATTCATTTTTGTTATTGGGGTGTATTACTATTACAAAATCAAAACTGATTCACAAAACTTTTTCTATATTTGTATATCCTGCTCCACCCTGCAGATCTCCTTAGAAACACTTTTTTTTCCTCTCCAGTTTTTCACAGTTGTCATGAATGGCACAACAGGCCCATGACCCATTTCCAATTGACTGCAAATGAGCTATAAAAAGCAAAACTTTGGGGTGCTCAATTTGATTTAGGATACTTGCATTTAGGAACAAAATACGCTTCACTTCTACATGGAGTCAGTGAGGCAGAGAGAGCCTAGGACTCTTGCTAGTCACTTGATATTTCCAAGTAGTTTTTTTTTTTTTTCCTGAAGAGTCTATTGATCTTTTCCTAGAAGAGCTGCTACACTGATGAATTTTTTGTTGTTTCCTTTAGCACATCCACCAGCCGAGTCAGGGGAAACACTAAGAGCACCTGTGCTGCCTGGCTGCTTCGTTCAGTGCCGCCTCCCGCTCCTGCTTTCTGGCTTCTGCCACCGCTTGAATCTTCTCCTGCGCGCACTCCATCAGGGCACACCGCAGCCTGTGCGCCATGCGCTGCTCTGCAGCTTCGGCCTCCCTCCTCTGCTGCTCCTCCATGTACTGCTGCATCTCTGCCTTGGCCTTCCTCACCGCTTCCTTGAGTAAAGTGAAAAGTAGGTGTGAGCAACAGGATTGTTCAGTCGTCTTCAAGCAAAGCCCGGCAGAACAACAGCCTTCAGGGAAACATTACAGGGCAAGTGCAGTGCCTCGTTGCAGGGTCTTAGCTTATGAGTGGCCAGAGCTTAGTCAGCAGCTCAGGACTGGGGTGTAACAGGGGTAACAGTAACTAACATACTGCAATACATGCAACCCAAATAAAATTTTTGAGCTGTTTTTTAAATGTTTTTAAACATTCAGGTATCCTTATGACTGCCTGGTGCCAGATCTGGAAGTGAAAACTGCCATTTTAGTACCGTGCTTTCCACAAAGCTTCCCAGTTGCATGCCCTCTGCTTCCACGCAGCCCCCCTCACCACATCAGTCCCATTGGATATCTGCGTAACGCCTTGCTTGGCATTAAACATGCTTCTCTGCATCTTTGATCTCCAGCAAACAGGGCACTAACGCTCTTGCTCTGTCCTTAAGAGCATCATTCCACATCGTCCATGCGTTCAGCTTAAGGCACTAAAAGGCACTGATAGATTTTTTTTTTTCAGCTGTAGAATTCTGCCTCTGCTCTGCGCTTGTACTGTTTGTATGGGGGAAAAAAAAAAAAAGCTCATGTTCAGACCCTGAGCACTCAGGTCTGCAAAGATATGTAATAGGCTTATGGCAAGTAATTGAATGGTTAAACACGAGGAACCGAGCCTCTGCCAACTATTGTTGGCAAGCGCTGTGACAGCAAAAGACAGAGCTGCCTTGGAAAGCAGCTCCATAAAAAGAACTCTGCCAGAAACTTCAGACCACTGTAAACCTTGCTGCTTTTTCTCTTGAAATGCCAAGCACACTGCTTTGACTGTCTGCAGCATAAACAGCTAGCTGTTTAGAAACTTGCACACGATAAAATTCCGAAGGAAAACGCTCCAGCGAGCGATTCCCTGGGGGCACCTCATCCACTGGCAGGTGCTGAGCAGTGCCTGGCTGAGGAGCTCGTGGATGCTGTGTCTTTGAGTCTTCTCTCAGACATCCAAAGAGCCATATAAAGCATGTGCTAAGTGTATATAGAAATATAAAGCTGCACTTGGTGTGCTTAATTTAGAAATATACATATGCTAGCAGTTTTCCTTCTCCTCCGCACCATTTAGGCTCCAAGTTCAGTAAATCAGATAAATATCTAGCTTCGCGGGCACAAAGCTTCAGAACAGAGTTAAAGTTAAGCCTGTATTTAATTGCCCTTTAACAGGCACCTCATCAGCTTAAGCAGCTAGGGCCGTATGGGGAATTTCCAACAGGGCCCACAAACTTCATTCAATTAAAGAAAAAAGTGGAACATGCTGAAAGTGAACTAAAAATCCAGCCAGCCCAAGCTGGCACAAAGGAAACCCAGTCATCTTTCAGGCCAACCACTTCACCTGATGTTGGAGTTCAAATCTCAAACGAATGAAGGTCTTGGGTATGGCAGACATAAGAAAAATATGTATTTTAACATGGAATGACATGCCTGGTTGTCAAAAAATGATTTTGTCATGATGGCTACTTGCAAGGTAACAAAAGCAAAGCAGTTCATACCCTTATTTCCTTTCCAAGTTTTTGTTTAAGGTCTTGTACAAATGTATTGTGGTTAGCGGCTGCCTCTTTGAGAGCTTTATCCACTGCATCTTCTTTGTGCATTTCAGCCTTTAAAAGAAGTTATTATGTAAGTATAGCTGCTCGTGCCCTACTAATGTCCTATTAAGATAAAGCAGAGGTTATGTAATCAATAGTTCTGTATCTTCTCTTTAAAAAATCAGGGCAAGTTAAATTTAAAGCCAGACAGCAAAGCGCATTTTGGCCCCTCTGGCAATTTAATCAGAGCATTGCATTTAACATTTTAACATCTTGTTAAAAATGTGCTCAACAGCAATAGCATTGTGCTGCCACCATATGTATATACAACACAAAGGGCAGTTTCAGAGTCTTACACAGCACTGTGGGGAATGGCGTTACCAACCATTAACTTTCGTGCTTTTTAAAGGCCATTTTCTGGCCAGATGTAAAATTCGGTGTTGATTCAGAGTAGACTTTGTTGGGATCAGAAACTGGGGAAATATGTGCACAGAGAAACCTGTGAGCACAGGATGAGCAGAAAGTAATGACAGCTCTGTAGGAGTGACCTCAGAGGTCTCTATTAACTGTCTTTATGCTAGAGCAATTATTCCAAAGCGTCATTGTAATTTAAATGACAATGGTGCAATTTAATTTACCTGAGACCAAAGTTCAGCTTTCATTTTTTCGATGCGCTCTTGTATCTCTGTTTCCTTCCTTTCATGCTGCTCCTGTTGAATGCTCGCTCCAATCTCTGTACAACCAACAGAAGCGAATCTTGCTCAGTAAACAAATGAATACTGAAAACTTTGCCCTGGCCCCTTTGGTCCCACAGATAAACACTAAAACCGTAAAAAGCTAAAACCCAAGCAGTTTCATTTCACATATATTTATGTACTGGTAAATACATTATTGCTTACGTAGTTCCACAAATGTAATTATAGAAGTTTGGTTTTAACAAAGGGCCTTGCCCATGGAGTTAGGATAGGAAACACAAAAAGACTTAGGTCCTTGGCACAGGACTTCAGAATAATTCAATTTTCTTTCTGAAGTTGCTGATTTGAACTTTTCAAAGCTGAGGAAGGTACTCAGGTGCCTTCATGCCACTCTTGGGGCACACGACAAATACTCCTAGGTGGACATTTTTTGGGTGTTTGGAACATGCACTTGCAAAACACCTCTTCCATCTTTGAGGCTGCTGTGCTCATCCAAGACAAGACCCAAGGAAAACCCAGTGCTGTGGGAGCACAGTGAATCCCTTCTGCAAAGGGGGAGTGGAGCAGCATGGAAGCGTGCCAAGCTGCTTCACAGGGTCCAAAACACCAACTGCTTCCTTTAACATGGATAGAGTCTAAATAAAATAAATACCAGCACCACCATCTCTTGCTGCGGACACACTATGAAAGAAAGTAGGTAGCTCTTCTAACGTATTCTAAAGAATGGTCTTCAGCACTGGTGGTTGCCCCCAAGAGGAGAAGTGGGTAATGTTGACTTTCTGCAACCCCAGACTCCACCCCAAAAGTGGGATTTCAGATTCTCCCCTCCTACTCGGTGCCTGGCCTGAGCACTGCTTTGGATCCCATTCTCCACGCTTGGCGGGGCTAAGAGTCACATATTGTTACCCCGTGTTATTAGGAGAACGAAAAAGCACCAGAGCCACGAGACCAAGCTCTCAAACAGCCTCTGGAGGGCTGAGTCTTGACGTCAGTCTTCTTCCCCACTCCACTTCTTGGGCGGGCAGAGCCCTTTTGTGGAGCTCACACGAAGCACACACGGAATGGCAGCAGGATGGGGCACAGGGGCCAAGTGACTGCAATCAGCGAACTGAACAAGTCCAGCAAGGCAGAAACCTTAACGAGCATGCTGGGCCCTGCCTGCATCGCTTTGCCCCAGTCCAATGCATTAAGCAGCAGCAAGAAAATAACCTAAGAAGACTTTCTGTGGCCTTCTGCATGTGGTTTACGTTGTGTATGTCAACACAGGGCTGAGGATTTGTCTTCTGAGGAATGTCCGGCATTCACCCAGTCCCCGGGGCTCTCAGCACACGGATCGATGATTTCTGGGCATTGTTTAAAGCACAAACCAAGCATACTCCTCGTGCACCACACGGTAATTAAAACACACAATATAATTTCTACAAAACTTTACACCAGTGATCAGAAACCTCTGGGATAATTCAGCGTAGCGTATGAAGGTGCTGCAGGCTCCTGTTAGATCCTCGGACACGGGACTGCTGCCACACGCTTCCCCTCCTCATTGTGTGGTGACAGAAAAATCAACCCACAGCTCTGGAGAGTGTTCGTATCAGCACAGCACACTTTGGAGAGGTTTGTCAGCTGCTTACCTCTTTCCAAAAATTAAGACAATAATTATACTTATTTTTATTTTTCAAGTTGTGGAATGTGTAACAGAATGCGGAGATTTAGGATAACTGTGCTAAAACTAGCAAGATGAAGGATATTTTTGGTCCTTATTCCATCGAAACTCTTTGTTGACTTAAATAGAGTTTGAACCCAGGCTCTTTAGAGGCTCAAGCTATGGTCAGCAGCCAGAATCAGGTGTGAGAAGTTAGGAATCGGGTTTAAACATCCCAGCTGCGTCCTGTTGAAGGATGAGGGGGTGATCTTTGCAAAAGCCAGACAGGTGTAGTTCTTTCCAAAGTATGTGAGCTTTGAAAAACATTTGCAAAGTCTTACAGCGAATTCTGTTTTGCACCTCATTATGCACAAATCTGAGTGCGTTCACGCACCACAGGACAGCTGACCCCGCCTCCCTCTGAACACGCAGCATTTATTTATGTTCAGGAGGTCGGTGCAGTTTCCTTCCCAAGATTCGGGTGCCTTCATGACTCTCAACAACACGTGGATACTGCCACACATGGAGTTTTCCTAAATCTGAGCTCGCCAGGAAAGGAATTCAGAAAGAAACTCACCCAGTATATCACGATGAGTGTAATACCGTGTCCTGAAGGGCTTATACTCCCGGATCCGATCAAAAGTGGCATTGGAAGGCGGCGGTGGTATTATTTTTGAACATACAGCGCAACAAACAAAGGATTCCAGATCCGGACTTCTAATCATCGTGGTGTTCTAGGATCTTTCCCTAACACACTCACGAAAACGCCAGGACTCAGCTCCAGAGAGATCTCTTGCTCGCAGGCGCAACGCTTCTTGTTGCTACAGACAACACGCAAGCCAGAGAAGGGAGACAGATCACCGTCTGGTGTTTTGTATTATATGAAGCTTTTGCCTTCAGATTCAGTCTCGCACATGCTGAGAGCTCGGTGGCGGGTGGGTGATGCAGGCAGATGATGAGGGAGGCTGGTATGAGGTGACCCCTTTCAGCCCGGAGGCGTAGCAACTGTTACCAGGCGGGACTCGGTGCTCACAAAGCTCCGGCAGCGGGCTCTGGGCTCTGCAGTGCCTTTTTTTGTTGTCGAATTTCCACGATTCCTGCACAAACCGTGTCCTCGAAGGAGGTTTGAGGAGCAGAAGAACAGCCACTGCTTCAGATGTTTTAATCATAGCGTGTTGTTGCCCTTACTGGTAAAGATGTGAAAGCACAGATGATGAGGGACTGGCAAAAGCTGAAAAAGCCTCTGCCCAGGAAATCATTTTGTTGCAGTTCCTGTCAAGCCAGCTATCATGCCTTGTAAATATTTATTGCTATACTGAAAACTAAATTCAGAATCAGGGAGAAAACAGAGAAAACAAGGAGAAAACAGGGAGAAATAGGGCAAAAGAGGCTGTATCAGTGCTGTTTACCTACCCTCCAGATGCATAAAGGGAACTGTCCTGTTAAATGAACAAATTGTTACTGATGTAGTTTTGTTTGGTGTATTTTTTTCGCTTAAATCCCAATTCACACACAGTTTTTATGTGCGTAAATAGCATTAAGAGAGTCACCTGTGCAACAGCTACCACAAATAAATACAGAGAAGATACTTGAAAATATGAACAAGTCTCAATATTAATCCTTCCTCCAGGCTGGCCACCAAACATACCAGACTCATGAATTTTAACGATCTGAAGGGAGTTAAAATCCTGTGTAACCCTTTTTACAAGGCTATTTGTAATGATCCATCACATCCTACCCCCAAAAACATATTTTACAGGTTATGCAGAGCATCTGATAGTTCTGTGTATTTAATCAATTTACCAGGAAATTCTTTCACCCATCACAAGGCAGGTAGTCTGCTCACCTGCAAGCCTTTGGATGTGCCCCAGAGCCTTGCTGTTGTGATGTTTCTAGGCTCATGGAGGAGAATATGCTTTTAAAGGCTGCAAAATGCTTTTATATAGCTTCATCAAAGGCAGAGCTCACTTCCCTTCCTGCGAGGGAAGCAGCTAAACCAAGGCCAAGCTGAACTTTGGATACTGATAATTATAAAACATGGGCAGGAAGAAAAACAGAGAGGCTCAAAACAAAGGGTTTAGATGGAGATAGAGAAATCCCACAGAGCTACTGCTGTACCTCAAGGCAGCCGGTCACCTTTTTGTTATCTTCAATTAAAAAAAACAAAAAACAAACCACTTTCCAAACAAAACAAAACAGAAACAACTCCCAGAACAGGAAAGCAGATGCCCTTCACATCTTTTTTCTTCTTTGGCCTGACAGAAGCCACCTTGGCCAGAAGGGTTCAACAAGGAGGACTCTCGAGTTCTTGGCCACCTGTGGTGACGGTGTAAATAGGAGATGGTGAACAGAAAAAACGTGACCAGAACAGTAGTAAGGGCGTGAGGTGGAAAGGGCCCGGCCTGGCACGCAGCCTCCCACCATGTGCTCTGCCTAGGAAGCTTCTGACACACCAAAGTCGCTGGAGAAGCGGAGAAGGTCAAGAGACCAGCTTTTGCTTTTCACACAGTGCACTATATACTCGTGCTTAAAAAATAAAAGACAAAGCCCCGCTTTCACTTAAGGAAAGAGAAATGACTTGAACCATTATATGAATTTATGAGGCATTTACCAGTCTAGACTGCACATCCAAGTTAATCGTGTCTCTTCTAACATACTGTGGAGATTGCAGATGACAATTCTTAAAACCAGTTTTATGTGTGTGTATATCATAATTACAATTTATTTGTACAGGCACAGTATTTTATAATGGCACCTAAATTGGATTAAATGCCAACAGAGATATTTAAGCATTATTTTAGTGGGCAGATGAAAAAACAGCAGTTGCCTCGAAAAGTTCTGTGAACGATTTGCTTCTTTCCTTCCTTACGTCATCAGTCCCACTTGGAAGTTTTCCTCCTCATGTATCTGGACCCCTCACTGTCGACTGCTTCATAGAGCTCCTTTTTATTCTCTGCTGTCGCATGCAAGTAACCAAGGTAGGCCATGCAGAGGGTAATTGCTACGAGCCCGAATGCCATCACAGGTTTGTTCTGACAAGAAAAAAATAAAAAAAAAAGAACACATTTTAAATCAAAACATTTTTCATTCACCGCAAACATTACATTCTTCAATCTTAGCTTACAAAGTGAAGAGTGAACTACTGTGATATCTGCAACAATTACCATGCCTTCCTTCGGACTACTCCAAATGGCTTTGACCAGCAGCAAGAAGAGAGACACAATTTTCACAAGGCACAAGGAATTCCCTCTGAAAAAAGAGGGCTCTCCATTTCTGGAACATCCCAGAACATCCCACTGCCAGTGCACAGGTCCCTGTGCTGCTTGAGCACGGATGAACTGGCCACAGCCAATTTCTAAGGGTAACTACTACAGACCTCTACCACAATTTATCTGGATATACTGCTGGGACAATGCACCCTGCTCCTGCCAAGTAACCTTGATTACATTTTTCTAGAACAAATCACTTATCATCACCAGATCTGTTATTACGTGCACAAAATTTCATCAGAGCTAACAATACTAGTAGATTTTCTAACAGCACAGAACCAGGTGACTCAGTCCAACAAAATATGTGAAATAACTTATGCTACCTCTGGTCAACCAAGATGAAACTGACTATTTTACAAACAATTAAATTAACTCATTTAATAAATGAAAGAAAAACTGTATATACATAGACGGTAATAGAGTTTTATAAAGGATATAAGAAAGCGCACCAGAATTTTTGGATTCCTGAAACTTTTGGCATATTAAAAACAGAGAAAAAGAAAAATCCAAAATAATGAAAAGCTACCCAAAAGCCCTTTATATGTCCTTTTATATCAAAAAGTTTCCATTTTCTAATTTATTCCTTTTCAAATATTAAAGAAGACTCCTGGTACTTAACCTGTGAAATCATGAGTAATGACAAATTACTTTCTTCCTGAAGTAACTCAACGAGGTACAAAATAATCAGACAACCTAACAGTGAAATAAAAGCTGGAATAAACAATGCAAATTCTGGGCTCTTAACAATCAGAGTGGAAAAAAAGCAAAAATATTTTTAGTTATGTTACTGGGTGGTTTGCATAACAAGAGAGTTATATAATGCACAAAGCATTGCGATTATTATTTTAAAGCAAACGTGTCTCTCTAAGCACATTTAGTTTCTCTCCGAATAAGCCTCTTACAGGTTTGATGAAAAGCTCGGGGTTCACAGCTCGGAACAACATTGTTGTCTGCACACCCCTCAGTCCTGGATTCCTCCCTTTGGGTTTTTCATTCTCATTCAGAGGTTTGCTGGAAGACATTGTAATTGATGTTGAACACTTCCTAAAAACAGAACGAAAAATAGACGTCATTTGCATTTTAGAAATAATAACAGAAATACACTGAGCATGACTGCTCACCCTGCTTAGCTTGTCTTCTTCCACCGTGAATTTTAATTTGTGTACGTAATGCTGACTGCTTCTGGTGTTAGGTCTAAGATTCCCTGCTTAAGCACACCGATTTTCAATCTTGTCAAATTTGCACATCCTAAACCACACTTCTGGCAGCGTGTATTTTTATATACTAAACGTATGCCTGGGCTTGTTTTGGTTTCTTACCTTTGGCTAACACATTAGCTATCTGCACCCCTAGCAGCAGCCTACAAACCACAGTCCGAAAGAACCTTGAAAGAGCTTTGCCACAAGAATCAGTGTCATGGCAGATTGTTTTATTTTTTTATTTTTTTTTAATCTCACGGGTGACAGGACAGCCGGTGTGGGGCCACCCCAGCGAGGCAGCCCCTCCCCCCCCCCCAAGGAGCCCCCGGTGTCATTTCCAAGCACAAGGGCACGTCAGACTCGGCGAGAGGCCACCACCAGACCCTCGGCCAGGGTCTTCTCAAGAAAAAAAAATAAAAAATAAAAACCCCGTTGGAAGCGACGCCCCTCAGCGTCCCCTCACGTCAGCGGCGGGCGGCCGTTAACGGCCCCCTCCCCCCGCCCTTCCCCCACCGCTCACCTCCCGCCGCTACCGGGGCCCTCCCGGGGCGGGAGGGGGGGGAGCGGGGTGCGCATGCGCGCTCGCGCCCCCTGCTGGGCGGAGGCCGCCCCGCGTCCCCTGAGGGCTGTGGGGGGCGGACACAAAATGGCGGCCCCAAAGCCAGCCCCAAACCCTCCCCAAATTCCCCTCTGTGTCCGCCCTTATCGCCCCGATCGGGAATCACACGTGCCTCTGGAAGTGCAGTCCTTCTGAGCAGAAAAAATAAATAAATAAAGTTTTGATCAAAGCTTCCCCTTTCTGTTATTTGGATCTGCAAGCTAGATTTTGGGCACCTCAGTGGTGCGGTGGCACTGCGCTGCGGTGTTTTGTTAAAATTATCCAGATGAAGCCTCCCTGGTGAAAACAGGCAGGCCGAAATGCAGTGCGATGCTTAACATTGAAGTTTTGGTATCAGGAGAGAATTCAGTGGTTAATATCTGTGTTTTCTGTCAACATTTAATTCACAACATACCATCTGCTAATCTCATAGCTATTGTTTTGGCAGCATATGCCGCACAGCTGATTTTGTTCAGACTCCACTGAGTAGAAAAAAAAAAGTCACTTCTGGGTGAAGATGATTGCTCTCACTTGTTTTGGTTCGTGTGTAATTTAAAGAAGCTCATATCAAGTTTTAACATGACCCTTGTTTTTTGGGGGGTATCTTGCTTTCTTGAGGTAAATCAGAGTTTTTACAGTACTGCAGGAGACATTCTGCATAGATCTCCAAAGTAATCGACACGTTTTACGTGGGGACACAAAACTTTTACATCGCCACGATGAGGCATGCTCCCTTACCAGCACATGCACCCCTTCACAGCAGTTCATGCCATTAACTGACCCCATCTACACAGATAAAACTCCTGCCTCAAAGTCAGCCTGGGCCATTATAGTATTTTCCAGGTCGTGGTAGGATGGGTTTATGCCAGAAAGCGCAGCCACTTGGCCATGCAGACGGATCGTTAGGCTGCTGGTACTTCTCTGGCGCTTCCCGTCTTTCCTATAAGGGGAAAACTTACTTTCCTGTAAGTCCCACAGACATTGCTGATGGGGGAAGAAAGCACACACTGTACAAAGAACACCCCTGGCTGGAGGGAAATAGTTCTCCATAGGATGAGTTTTGGGATGAAGCATTATGCATACAAAGAGAGGGGCTGAGAAACGGGGTTGGGCTGTGGTGTGAGTGCTGGTGCTCAGCATGCATTATGCAGGTGCTGAATATCCAAATTAGCTCTGCAGTGGAGGGAAGCTCGGGCTGCTTGCTGTTTCTAGTTTTGCTCCATGGCTGTGGGAAAGTGTTTTATTTTGTCTGCAGTGTGAATATTATGTTGGTGTATGACACTACAGGATGTTGAAAAGCTCAGTCCATCAATGCTTATAAAGTTGTCTAGCATTTTTTTTTATAGAAGGTGTTCTTTAAAGGGTAGAACTGTAAACATCTGTGGTGTTTCTGAGTCCTTACAAGTCAGCCATCATCTTATTATCTGAGTATCTCTCCTGTAAAGTCAGCACACACACACACACACAAAACCTTCCTTTTCAAAACCCAAGGCTGTTACTGAGATTTATTTTCCTTTTAAGCGAATTCCTTCGGGATTTCGCTTTCGCTATTGTGCTGTGTGCTGTGGCCATTCAGAACTTAATAGCAGCTCCTGCTTTTCCCGAGACTCGCATCCCCTTATCGTTTGAGCCGCAGAAGTCTCTGTGGAGGACAGAAGGGATCTGATAGCGCAACCCGCAGACATGGTTAGCATGCAGTAGCCAGCCTAATGCAGCACTCGGCACGGCGGCCTGCGCCTTTGCTGATTCACCTCACAGCTCCTGCTCCTTTCAAGTGCCACACAAAGGGGAGAGCTCCGCGCTGTCTTCCAAATGAAGATAGGATGCCTCGAGCTGCCGATAAGCTTCGCCCTGTTTTAGAGACACACGGCTACAGATCTGCCAGGGACACAGAATTATTCCTTCTGTATAAACACTGGGACTTCAGCACGGGTGTGACTTGCAGAGAGAGGCAATTTCCACCATGAATTTGTTAGGATTTTCATACGTGACTGAGTACTGTGCAAATGCATGCCTGTTTTGCCGGCTTTTTGCAATGTTTTAGACACTGTGAGTTTATATTTTAATTAGAGCTGGCAGTTGGGACCCTTTTTTTTGGCAGAAAAAGCTAAACAAGTCTGGAGGAAAGGACAGTGGGTGCGAAGGAAAAAAGCAAAAAATAAGGAATTAGAGGTACTTCCTCTGCCGTATTCACTATTAATGGCAAGGGAAACAATAATTTCACTCATATCGAGGAAATAAATGCTGAAGAAGAAACAAACAGATGTGCAGCTAGACAGAGGTGCTATTGAGAGCCCTCTGTGTGCGCTGCTCAGCTCGTGTCAGTCTCAAGAGCCCTTACGCTGCTTTTCAGCGGCTGCTGCTCATTCGTCTCATCCTTGCTGAAAGAAAGCAGAGTTTTCAGACAGCAGCATGCCTCTGCTGGGCCCCTACCACTGGTGATGCAAAATAGTTTGAAGGCAATAAACTCTTTAAAAATGAGAATCTGTTAAAGGGAATCTTTTGCGTTTCATAGCATTATGCATGTGTCTGTTAAAACACTTGTTAACCAGCTTTGTCTCTAGGAGACAGAAAAATCCCCCAGCCATGCTTGCCAGCCAAGATTCAAGCAATTGTTATTCTTCAGCTACTGATCAAGGTTATAAGTCTGTTGAACTGAATTGAATACAGAAGAGAAAACGCATTCAGTTGGGTTCTACTTTCATTAAGGAGTGGGCAAATTGTTTCCAGTTGGGAACAGAATAAAACAAAAACCCAGACCATCCCCTCTGGAAGGAGAAAGCCAGTTTCTCCTGAAAAGGAGGGGCAGAAAAACATTCACAGAGGTGGGATTTCTCTGTTGCTCAGAGCTGGGCACCCTTCAAGTTGGAGTCAGGGAACGCAGCTCCTGGCAGGACTCTGGAGGGCAGGAATTTCATAGGTTTAACAGAATAAAATCCATCTGTCTCCGTAATCTGTGTGCTTTTTGACTTTCTGCACCTTAGAGTTGTCTTTTTAAATACAAATATCACCGCATACCGAAACACATCGGGGAGCAGCAGTGCCTAACATTTACGTACTGGTTAGGTTGGAGATACAGCAGCCAGTGGCACGAGACACTTAAACAACTTTGACATTTAAACGACCCGATCACAACCATGCATTTCTGATTAATAAAGAATGGGCTGCCGGGGCTTTTACAGCTTTCTTTTCCATCTCTGTAATTGCTCAGGTACCTTTAATGCTGTAATAAAGTCTAGCTTTAAAGTTAAATTCTAACTTTCTCGCTCCCGCAGCGACTGCCCTTCAGGTAATGACGATATTCGTGCCATTGCTCTGGCCTTTCAATCACTGATGCGAATGAAACTCAGCTTGGCTGGTTGTGGCTTTTGTCGGGCACTGAGCTGCGTGCCCGGAGGCTTTTTTGGGGCCAGGAGCATGATGCTAAAAGGCACATGTGTTAGTTAGTGACACCCTGCCTCCGCCAGCCTAAAAACACGAGATGTGCAGCCGGAGAAAGTGCTCAAAGGATGAAAATAAAGTTAAACAAATGCCTGGGTTTCCTGGCATCTCTCTACTGATAGCGGCTGCGTTAGGGCTCCGGGGTGAAGGGTGTGCTGGAGGAGGTGATCACGTTTCGCTGGGTTAGTTTGCATTGCCCGGGAGATGGGTGGTTTCCCTTCTCAAGGCTTAGAGCAGCAACTCCCTTTCTGGGAAATGAACTGCTGCTGGTTAATGCCACTAGAAAACGGGGGTCCAGCTGCAATCGCTCACAGCCACACAGGTGAGTTCGGGTTTCTTGTTATAAAATATAGTCTTACCAAACCAGAGGTTGTTTTTTTTTTTTTTTTTTTTTTTTTTTTTTTTTTTTTTTAAGGTTGAACGGGTTTGATAACAGCCTCATGGCAGTGTCCCATCTGCCAGCATGAGACACCGATCAAATCCCAGTTTTGATGCCTTGCTTGTACCTACTAACGAGTTGCAAACTCAGTGTAGCCGCGGACAAATGACTTCATTTCTAACACTTGCTGGTTATCTGTTTGGCATGAAGTTGATGGAAAATGCTCTACCAGTTGCACGGGTGAAATATGGGTGCCATTTCTTTTAAAGTCCTTTTGGCTTCTTCTGAGTTTCTATTTTTAAATTATATGATTTACCGAAGTAACAAAGGCAAGAGTGAACTGCGTCTGCCCTCTCTCAAAAAACATTCATCTGCTGTGGAGGAGAGACCACAGCAATTAGCAGCTGGCACAGCAGCGCTCTCAGCAGCTGCTGGGTTATTAAGTGGGGTTTGTGGTTTTCCCAAGCACAAAACAAGATGGGATTTTGCCACTGCTGGCTGTGAAAAAGAATGCCACACATTCTTAAGGTTACGGAGCCTACTGAAGACGTAATTTATATGGGATGCTTTCAGAGAAGTGAGTGTTTGGCAGCTAAGGTAGTGAAGCCCAGAAAGGAAAGGGATTAGTCCCAAGCCACTCGGAAAGTCTGTGCCAAAGTCAGATGTAAATCTCCAATCAACCAGATGAACTCTCTTCCATCTAGCCTTTTCTTTTCCTTTTGTAGTCACTTGGCAAATAAATATCTAGGCTGATGTTTTTACACACCACGTCTATTTTAAGCAGGATTTAATTGTTTACAGAATTCTGCATTTAGTATAACTTATTGCAGTACCATGAGGCTTACATAGGGACACATTTCTTGTTCTGAGGAGTTAAAAGTTAATAATAGGCACGAAATAGTGAGAGCCTAAAATCAGTAAGCTAAGGAAGGTGAAGGCAATGGACCGGACTATGAGAGACCCTGGCTCTTTAGCTCTGCCCTGATGTGTCGGGTGATGTTGGATAAACCCCATCACCTCCCTTATGGACATCTCCTCCACAGCACAGGTTTTCACTGTCTGTATTCTTGATGTTTTGAGCAGAGGACTCAATTTTTTATCAAGTTAATGAAGGATTTATGCCCGGGAAGTTCAGTCTAAAGAACCTACAGATTGATCTTAAGTTGATCTGCGAGAGGAAGCAGACGGGTTATCCAAACCACCCAAGGCTAGGTTTTCTGACCTCTAAATTTTTTCATTGTCTCTTTCACAAGGACCTGGAAAACCACTCACATCAGCACGCTGACTATTGAGCAAGAAGCAAAGGCGCTGCAAGGTGAGTGACCTGCAGCAGTAGTTCTTCAGCTCCTGCTGCTGATGCTCAGCACCATGAATAGCTGGTGCAGGCCCAGCTTGGCCGGGTGGCTTTGGAGCTGGGCTGTCCCTCTGCGTTCCCAGGAGGTTTCCTGCTGCCTCTTCTCCTGCAGCAGAGCGCTGGAATAGATGCACCACGGTAGGGTGGGAGCGGAGCTTCCATAAATTTCAGGGCAGGCTGAACAAACACCTGTCAGCAAGAGTTATAAGCATGACAAAGCCTTCTTAGGGGAACTGGTGAATCGGTGCTGCTCAGCCTGCGGACCTCAGTAAGGAAGCAGTGGGTAGTCCATGAAACAAGCACAAAGGATCAGCAACAGTAAAACTTCCTTATACCACCAAACAAAGAAAATAAAGGGAAAGTGAAATTACAAAACGAGAATCTGAAGTTAAGTTTCATTATTTGTATGGTCATTTATAGGAATCATCGTGCCAATGCCTTTATTCCTTTTCTCAAAATGCAGAACTGACAGCTGTTTTAAAAGAAAAGGGCTGAGATTATGTTTTGTTTATATATATATATATATAAACCCTACATGTATAAAAGCTCTAGAGGATGACCTCTCAAGATCGCTACCAAGTCTGCTTTATTATGATCCCATACTCTGTGATCCTCTACTACTGTTCTCTGCTTTATTTTACACTATTTATGATTCTTTCCTTATCAAAAAAAAAAAAAAAAAAAAAAAAAGACAAGGTTAAGCCATAGGTGCACCAGAAAGCTCCCATTAGCAATGTTTGTATCAGAAAAAGGAATTGACTTTCCATCTCTCAGCCCGCAAGGCTGGTTGTGTCCGCCTGCGCGAGCGCTAGACCCGCAGTGCCCAGACCCATCCTTTCTGCTCTTTCTCACCCTTCCATTTCCATTTCCACTAATGCAGCACCTTCGACCTGTGATGTGCCTACTTGCTCCGAGCTGCCTGCCCCCTGTGTGCCTTTAACGGTGTGGATGCTTTCCCCTCTTCCTCTCTTTCTGAGTAGGTGGTTTTTGCATTTTCATACTTTTTCCCCCAATTCTCCTCTACACAGAGATACCTTTTCTGCTTTTAACGTCATTAAAGTAGCAGAGCCGACAGAAATCTAGATGAACTCATTCTCTGAATGCTCTGCAGCGGATGCATTACTCCACGCACATTAGCCAACCTTCCGTAGACCTCGCTGAAGGATGGAAAGGATTATTGGGTATGTTCAGCAGCAGTGGCGTTATCTGAACACTTTACTCAATGAATTCAGTTCCTCACTCCTGGAGCTGATGGAGCACTCGGCTTGCTCTGTCTGCTCGGCAGAGCTTGTGGCAGGCTTGAGGCAGAACTGAAACTACGTCCATATCTGAGGGAAACAAGGTGTGCGAGAGGTCTTCTGGTCACCTGTGTCTCACCAGGGGGGTCCAAGTCACATCCAGGACACACATTTTGTATGTGAAGAGGAGGTAGATGTGAAGAGGGGGGATTAGCTGCTCCGGTTCCTGGCAGGGAGCAGAAGCAGCCCAGGAATTTGTTTTCATTCTCGTCCCTGCTACATCAGGTGGAAATGAGCACAGCACATCAAGGTATTTCTAGCCTTCAGCTTTTGTCCAAGCTGGGGTGTGCGTATGTGCACGGAGAGTTTGAGGTAAATCTAACCTCAAATTCCTGCTCCTCTTGCCACATTCATCTTCTTGAGCACTTGGAGCAAATGATCTGACTGTTTTAGACTCTCTAGTGTCTCCTTTGCAACTTCCAATAGAAGCTTTTCTATTTTTGGTGGTGGTCTTTATTTCCTTTGTGCCAAACAGATTCCCCTATGACCCATTTGTTGCTTTCTTGACTCTTTGACTCATTGAAGGGCCGGATTTCTAGGTGCCAGCCTCCGTTGCTGTATTTCTCAATAGCCCTGCAGCAATTCCACCCATCCTGTTATTTGCCTAGCTGGAATTTGCCCACTGCTCAAGACCTGCTCAAGATTTTTGTCGAGGCCTTGACCACCACAGTCCCTGGGCAGGGAGACCCAGCCTATCTGCAACTTCTGGCCTCACTCATTCAACAGGGGGCTCAGGACTGGTGCACCTCCAGCCACTCTGAAGGTGCCTGTAAGCACGGGCTGGTAGGTGACACCAGGCTTTTGGCATCAGGAAAGACGGGCACAGTCCTTCTGGCCATTAGCAAAAGCCACACTGGTCTTCCATGGAATAATAAAATTCAGTCTTCCCTTCTGCAGCGCCTGTGCACATCTGAAAATCCCAGAAAAAGGCCTTTGAGGCTTTCCTTCAGCAAGAAATCTATTCAGGAGGATAGCTTGTTTGTGAGTATTGATGTGTATGAATGCTTGTACTTGCTCGTGTGAACGCTTTGTTTCCTGGCCCGTGCTTTATCGAATAGCAGGGTCGGTAGCATCTTCACCCTTTGCTACTCAGCCCCTTCGAGGCTAATACACATATTACCTGCCTAGAAATCGTTACAGGCATAGTGCTCATACCTCAGAGAGCTTGATTTAAACATCTGCTTGAGCTCTAATTGCAGATGTAGAGGATAGAAATAGCTCCTTAATGAAGTCACCAGTCTGCCAAATATATTTAAAAGCATATGTCTGATAGGATACAAGCCAAACGGTATTCCTGTTACTCCTTTACACCTACAGCATAAAGGAGTAGTCTGGTAACAAGTCTTGGTGAGAACATCTTTTCAGCATCCTTCCCAGTGTGAATTGGCCGTATGGCCATTCCTCAGCTCCTCCAGGAAGTCCCCGAGCTCTAATGGTGCAAAGTTATGGTGCTCTAAATCTGCAGCTACAGCACCTGGCAGGGGGGTTCCCAAACACATGGGGCAGCCATAGGTGGGTGCATTTTCTCTCAGTAGATGGGACGAGGCCATTAAGATCTAAAATATGGATCTGGAGGCTTCTCAGATTCCCCTCCTGATGTTTCCCAGCCATTCTGCCTCCCGTGAATGGATCTACTTCTTGCTCGTACGCAGGGGCTTGGTGTCCTCCGTGCAGAACCCAGGGGTGGGAAGGGGACCTGTGCGCTTGCTCTTGGTGCCTCTCTCGGATCCTCACTTGACTTTCAGCAGAGTCTGGCTGCCAGTGGCTCCTTGAAGCATCCCTTCGCAAAAGAAAAGCTCCAGAGCTAGGGCAGGAGAAGACTCACATTGAAAAAAAACTATTATTATATATATACATATACATAAAATCTATAAATTCTGGGAATAAAGTTTAGTGCATTTCTTAAACGATAAGAAATTGAAAACAAAGCAACAACAAAACAGCAGTGCAGCAGTACAGGACTTAAAATACTGCATAAATTTACTGAGACAAAAAGAAAACAATTTGCATCCTGGTAGCCAATTTGTTCTGGGATACTTGGCTCCTATGCATAAATCTGAAAGTTAAATGGGATTTGGTGATGCCTACTATTTGCAAAATGGATGGTGCTACGTTGGGCGTGCCTTGGTGGTGGAGCACTCGTCTGAACTCAGCCAGGGATGCTCTGCCTGGTGCTCAGGAGGCCCTCGCTAAGAACAGGCACATCTACCTGCAGGGAGCACAGCCTGACAGAACAATTAGGCTTCAGCCTAATTGACAAGAGCCTACTTTAACAGCAAACAGTTTTCATATGATAGCCTCAGAAGGTACAAGTTATTAGAGGTAGGAGAAGATTTGCTTTTTATTTTTTCCCCTTCCTTATTAATTGCTTAGTCAGTTTAAATTGCTTCAACTCCTGGCTGCATTTCACCTTGAACACGCTTCCCGTTCTCTTCAGCCAAGAGGAAGCATCTCTGATCTTGTGCTTCTTTTATACAGCACTTCCTTCCTCCCCCGAGGAGAAAGATGAGCTGGGCATTCCTGCGTGACCTGCTGAGTGGAGTGAATAAATATTCAACAGGAATCGGAAGAATCTGGGTAGCAGTTGTGTTCATATTCCGCTTGCTGGTTTACGTTGCGGCTGCAGAAAACATCTGGAAGTACGAACACGATGAATTTGAATGCAACATCAAGCAGCCCGGCTGTGAAAATGTTTGCTTTGACCATTTTTTCCCTGTCTCTCACATCAGGCTCTGGGCTTTGCAGTTAATCCTGGTCTCCACCCCCTCGCTCTTGGTTGTTTTCCATGTTGCTTATCGAGAGAACAGAGAAAAAAAGCACAACCAGACACTTTACAAAAGCCCAGGTGAGATAGACGGTGGGTTGCTGTGCACTTACCTCATCAGTCTTGTTTTAAAAACAGGATTTGAAATAGTTTTTCTCATTCTGTTTTACAAATTGTACAACGGATTCAAAATACCACATCTCGTCAAATGCGACGTGAGACCGTGTCCTAATACTGTTGACTGCTATATCTCCAAGCCGACTGAGAAGATGATTTTCCTCTACTTTCTGGTGGCAACTTCATGTCTGTGCATTGTATTAAATTTAAGTGAACTGAGTTACCTCCTTTGCAAATACTCCGTGAAGCGTTATCTGAAGAGGTACACCAAGGAACATCGAGGCTCAGCAAGCGGCTGCCACAAATCGGGAACCATCAGTCACAGGAGAGCAGCAGCTGCAAGACCAGCCCATGACAGCCCCCTGTCCTTGCCTCTGAATGAACAAGATGGACAGGAAAATATCTCCCCACTGACTTGAAAGTTCGGACAACACCTTCCTGTTACACCTGCTGTATCTCGTGAATCGCTCTGTTCCCATCAGTGCTTCACAGAAGCGAAAGGAGAGTTATTTAGGAAGTATTTTTCCTCTCTTAGTTCCCTCCCTCCGTTATACAAGCAAATAAATCCACTTGCATTATGTATGTCACGCATAGAATTACCTAGATCTGTTCATGTTGAAGAGGCCTGAAAATTCCACGGGGTTTTAATATCTACGCAAATGTTTATGATAAATCACACTGGAACAATTGCTCAAACACCTGTGTTTTGCGTATTACATGGAATTGCTTTGGTACAAGCAAAAAGGGGATTTTTATATCCAGAGATGGAAGAACCTGGAATTAAGATACCATTATTATTAGAGAACCTGGAATTAAGATATTGGACAGTGAGGGGATTTAGAGCGTTTCACAGGTAGGTGGATCTGATAAATGTTGAGATAGTGACCAGAAGGTGTTGGCATACAACAGCTACTCATGTCTCAAAGCGGGCTGGATCATCCCAAGCCCATCCCAGCTGTCCTCCTATGAAGCATTTCAAAAAAAAGAAAATATAATAAGGGGTAAATACATCTAGCTACGCCAATGGCGATAAAGGCAGAGCAGGTAATTTAGCTATTTGTGGAACACCTCCTCCTGTAGGTACTTGAGCCCTTCACAGTCTGTAGGACCTTTATCAGCAGAACACATCCCATAAGAAAAGGTCCTCACTCACACAGGCATTGCATCCTGGTGTGTGGATTTAACTCCTGGTCACCCACACCGAGCAGCACCCCAGCCACCACACACATCATCTGCCTGGTGGTTGCAGTGGGTGAAGGAAAAAAATCTTCCACAATTCTCTAGGATCCAAGCAGAGAAATGTAGACTCCACATGCAGCAAAACGTGGGCCAGCGGTCCTAGCATTCAGTAGCCCCAAACCCGGTCCCTTTGGTAGGGCTGAAAACACCACTGCTTCTTCAGCAGATACCTGCTGTTGAAGAAGATGGGCAATGTAAAGACACTCGCAGCCTCCCATGGAAGCTAAGTAGACAATAACGACTTACTGCCCCCCAAATTTCAGAACGTCTCTTGAACACTGCACATCCCCGCTCTTTGTTACGGTTGTAACATGGGCTAACAGGGAAGGGACAGAAATGAGTCTTCTTTTGAACTCAAGGTTCGGAGATGATAGAAATCATTCCTAAAAAGACTTATTTCAGGCTAGTGTTCTCCTTCCTTTGCCATGATCAAAGACCTGACATCAGTGCTGAGTCTGATCAAAACACACACTTTTAGAGAAAAAGCTGCCTGCAATAAGCAGAGCTGCCAGGATGTTGCACCGATTTCATTCCAGGATAGAGGAGGAAACAGTAGTGAAAGCACGTTAACTGTTTTTTCTCTCCAGAAACTCCAGCTGTGGTTACAAAGCATTACTTTTATGAGCACTGAGGCAGCAATTACACAATTAACTTTAGGAAATATTGAAAAAATTATGTACTTTTGACCATGATTTTCAAGCTCATGCGAGTTGGATTTTTTTTTTTTTTTCTTTCTATAAACCTGATTTTATAAGAGGTGAAAATACATTGCCTCTGCTGATCTTGCAACAGCAGCGTGTCAGATACGACTAGCTTGCCAGCTTGCGGCCAGTTAAAGTTTTACATCTCGCACGGCGCGGTAGCAGTGTGTCTGTCGAGACAACGTGCTTTACAGCTCCAAACGTCTTCTGTTGAGTCTCTACATAGGCAGAGTGGCTCAGGAGAGGGAAGCAATTACACCGTCTTTTACAACTACTGCACAAACCCCGTCAAGCACTGCGTGAAGCAAAACCATTGCTGGTCTGCTCCGTGTAACGGTACTGCCACCCTTTCGGTAACTGAGAAAGGAAACCCAAATTATCTCGTCCTTCTTGTACCTTAATGCATCATTTCTTAAGACAATGGAACACTATCCGAATGAAAAATGCTGCCATAAAGACTATTTTGTAATTATCGAGGACAGATTTGAAGATAGCACGTTAATGAAAAAGCTCTTTATTTTTTAAAGCAAGGTTCATTTGAGAGCAAAAGAAGCAAATGCAGCTTAGCTAACAGGTTTCTGATTAAATTTGTCATAGCTGCTCTCTAATACAAAAAATGTTAAGTCAGGGCTTGAAGGGCTTCAGAGCATCCCTCCAAACTCTGCAGCTGGCCAGAACTTCCTGCTTGGACCAAAAATTTTCATGTGATACAAGAACTTCTTTTAATGCATATACAAGTTTTTATTTCTCACTAATTCCTATCCTCAACAATCATGAAATAATAAATTATATTCCAGATGATAGCGTTTCAAGTATTGGAAGATATTTCAGGTTTGATACAACTAGAAATCATTTCTCATGTAAACCACTTTATTCTGACAAAGTATTACAGGCCAGCTGCGTAAGCCCGGACTCCCTGGTAGCAAACACCCAAGTGGCTTTTGCATCAAGCTGCAAAATTAGGAGCATTTAGCAAAGCCATTAATGTAAAGGAAACGAGCATCACACAAGGCAGCTCTGCCAGATTTTACTTAACATGAGAGCAGGAACTCCTCTATTTTCTGAAGCCTTGCTCTTGTCCAACATTTGGTCTGGTTCCTTTTACCTTTTACTGGTTCCTTTTCTACCCCAGCCCCTTCCCCACCCTATCACCTTTACATTCCTTCCTCTCTAGGTTAAATCTTCCTCATCCACCCATCTCTGAAGTCACTCATCCTTGTGGTTTTGGTTCAAATGAGTTTGTAGACTCGAAGCCTAAACTCAAAGGGCTTTTTTTTCCCCCTCATACATCAAACTTCCATGCTACCCATACAAAAATACCTATTTTTTTTTTCCATTGTAATGCTGTATCTCTCTTTTTAAAAGCTAAAAGAACTGTCTCCTTTAACAAACAGCAACTGGTAGGAAGCTGACCTCAGCCCTTACCGTAATGGAAAAATACCACAATCCCTCCATACACATTCACACAGAAATATTTACCTCATGCCTTTTTTTAAAACTTCTCCCCAAACATTGAGAAGTTCCAAACCTTTTGTAAACCCTTGTGTCCTTTAAAACCCAAGAAATCTTGTCTTGTGAGAGATAAGTTTTAAAAAAATAATAGGGGAAAAAACCAGTTCCCTATGTGCTGGTAGTTTCAGCACCCGCAGCCTCCTCACACCCTGCGGCTCCCCCGGGGCCTGGTGCCCGTGCAGGTGGGACCCAGGCCCGGGGGCTCCTGTGGCATAGAACCCAAATGCAGGAGTATGGCCACCTGCTTCTCCTTACCTGAGCTGAAATCAGCTTTTGGTGTTTCTTAAAAGCTTCTCTCCCTGACCTCGTAACAGCCGTGGGCAGGACGCGCCTCCAGAACATCAATGTCGGCCATCCCAAAACACGTGAGGACCTGCACTGCACTCGATTAGGGCTCAGACAGTGTAAGAATTTCTTTTTAGGAACACAGTTAACCACAAGAGAGGCTAAAGAAGAGAGCAAGAGGGATAAGGAGAGAGAAAGAGGTGGGAGAAGAATGGCGAGAGAGGGAGAAGCAGCAAGAGACAGGGATGGAGCGGGGAGAAGAGAGATGCTGAGGTAGAGAGGAGGCGAGGGGGAAGCAGGGAGCGCTCTGGGCACCCCACAGGCTGAGGAGGCATCAATGGGGTCGGCCTCGGCCACCCCCAGAGCCCTGTCCTGTCCCACAGGCAGGGGTAAGGCCTGTTGGAGCCCTGAGGGGCTGCCAGCACGCTCGAGCAGGAGGCATGATACATCACTCACGGGGAAAGGCCTAGATGTAAGCACCAGAGAAATTTATTTCATCAGCAACTTTTGTAAGTGGCTTTAGCAAACTACAGTACCCTCTGCAGTCTGTGACATCTCGTACCAAACCCTCCTTTCTGTCCCTGTTAAAATTATATATATATATATTTAAAAAAGGAAAAAAATACCATACTAGATTGCCTGCTGGACAGGCTGTCAGTACCTGTCTAACAGGGAATGTGCCACAAAGCTGGCTACGCTGGTCTTCAAAGTGTGGATTATTGGGCTAAGAGAACGTTAAAAATTTACTTCTCAGAAATTCAGGTCCTACATTCAGATCAGAATTTATTTTTTGGATGTTTATGACATTGGATTTTTTTTCCTTTTTTTTTTTTTTTTTTGTTCTGTTTTATAGCGTCGTAGTGTAACACTATGTACCTAAATACTTTTACGCTATTCTCAGTCTAAAAAGTGCAAATGGTGCAGTAACTCTAACAGGGAACGTTATGGTTGGAAGTATTTTACTTACAGAACAAAAAAAGGGATTAACATCTAAAAAAATTAACAACTGTGAGGTCTGTCGACAGCGCCCAGCCAACTGCCTGACAGCAGCGGGTCTCATGAGAGGCTCCGGGATCCCTCTCCGGAGGTGCTCTGCCCTCTCCTCCTGCAGATCCTCTCCTCTCCACACCCAGCTGCTGCCATCCAGCAGGAGCCCGCTCCTGAAGTCCGTGTACCTACAACCATCTCTCCTAGAGAGAAAACCCAAGCGTTTGTTTCGCCTCTATCGTTCTCAGATGGCACTTCTGATTTACCGACTTGGAGCCAGCAGGTCAGTCGCTCGGGAGGGACTGAAAGTTGCAGCAGCAAACGGGCCCTGCTCGAAAGGAAGCCTGTGCTTTGTGGGAAGGCGAGCAAGTTAGCACCGACAAACAGGAGCTACTCCCGAGGCTGAAATGCTGCCGCCTTTCTGCTTTCAGAGGTAATTTTCACTCTCCAAACAAGTCACTTCGTGTTGTCAGAGGAATGTGCCCTCTGAACTGGTATGCAAGTCAGCTGTCAAGGATTCCAGGTGAATAGCTTACAAGCAACGAAGCGTGGCATTTAATGCAAAGCGTTACATGGCAAGACAAGTTGATAGAAAAAAAAAAGCAAGCCGATCTCTCCCAAGATAAAGACTATTTTATATTACTGAAGGTAGGTCACATCCAGTAACGAGAACAATCCAACAAAAAATTTTTGGTACCGCACAATCCAGCTGGCTTGTCCCACGGGAGTTAAGCATAATCCTGTCCTAAAAACAGAATCCTGGATACCGACAGCTCCCACTACCGCCTTCGCTCTCTGGGTTACTCAGCCAACTGGACGCCTGTCGTTTCGGTCAGCAGCAAACAGAGAAATCACT